TTTTAACACCCCCCCCACCCCCACCTCTATGCTCTTAAAAATAGATTTATATGAAAATACTATATAACATCAAAATACAAGAAAAATTCTATTCTAATCAATTTTAAAGAATAATTTCTAACTAAGGGCACATCTACACTAGAATAATAAGAAGCACTGCAGAACATGCATGAACCATAACTCCAACAACATAGCAACAAATACCGAAAGCTAGAAAGTACATTAGTAAGGTTTTTAATATTACAAGTATTTGACTTGCCTCCATATCCTCGGTGAGCAAAAGATGTGTCATATCAAAAACATGGGCAGAAATGTCAATCTTTAGCCATAGACAACGGCATCTTCGCGCAAAGTCGCACCTTGGCTTGAGAACACTACTTGGAAACCATGTTGAGAAGAGCCTACCAACTGTCCCATACGTACATTTATCACATGTGGATAGAACGTAACTGCATAATCTTTCAAACCAAGCAGAGAAGTGAGGAATACAAGGAAGAGGATCCCAACAGTGGAGGATAGGAAGTAGACTACAACTACTTAATATGTATCCCTAGTATAGTAGTCGAGACAGTAGATTTGTAGAGATAGATTAGCAAGTCTTGGAGCAGGATTGTCCAAGTTTGCTGTTTTTAACTGTTATGTAATGATCACTTTGGTAAATAAAATATTTACTTACCAAAAAAAAAAAAAAAAAATTGTCCCATACATTATTTTTTGGAAACTGAGAGGATGTCTCCCAAAATAAATTTGGTAATGGCAACTCACTGTAAAGTCTTCTTTTTCAGCGTTTTGATATGATTTCAGATATCACTAATGAATTTGAGACACAAGAGATTCTACCAAAATAGAAGTTCTATGTTCACATATTATTGTGAGAGTACACAATGAAGAGAGGATTCTCCGAACAACAGGAAATAGCAACTAAAACAATTTCCACTACATTTGTTCCATCCATATGAATAAAGAACAAAAATTCTACACTAAAAGACTAGAGATTTGAGAGACATCATACATGGTGTCATACTATGAATACTCAAGTCTGTATAACTGGACACGATTGAGTGCACTGTACTATGCCACATCAAATATCTCTTGTGATGAAAGAATTCAGAATGTTAATGAGCTGCAGATCAATGGAGAATGGAATAAGGAGAAATTGACATAGCTCCTACCTGAGGATATAGTGCACATCACTGAAACCATACAACCACCAAACACTAAAAAGGACCATAGTGGCTACTGGAGGACTCAAAGGCAGAAGACGGAGACCTATTATGTGAAGATTTTGGAAGTACAAACTACCACCAGATGATGCACTAAAGAGGATGAGATATAACATGGTATCTACATGCTGGTGTTGCTCAAATCAGAAGGAGGAGACATTCCAACAGTCAACAAATACCACATGATAGTAGGAATGATCTGACCTGCTTGATGGAAACCTAAGCTGGAAGTGACTAAAGTAGTCTGACTAAAACAATTCCAACTACATTTGTTCCATCCATATGAAAAAAGAACAAAAATTCTACACTAACACCTAACTACACACTAGGCTTGTATAGCTTCTCAACCATCTTCCTGTATTCTGCACAAAGAAAGAAAAAAAGAGGCAAAAAGACTCGTTAAAAACTGTCGCACTAAGTATGAAAAAAGAACAAAAATTCTACACTAACACCTAACTACACACTAGCAAGATTAAGATTAGAAAATGGTTAAGATCAAATCGGCAAATGTTGACAAATTGCTTATAGTATTTACCTCCAAGCAAACTCTGAATTGAAAAAGACTCGTTAAAAACAGTCGCACTAAGTTGATATACTCAAAATTTCAATTTACAAGAAAGCTTAAGGATTTACCTTCTTGATTGCACCAAAGAGCAGCAGCTTGAGTGTTCAGAGGTGAGCTTATGTTTGGCTTTGGTACAACATTACAAGATTAAGATTAGAAAATGGTTAAGATCAAATCGGCAAATGTTGACAAATTGCTTATAGTATTTACCTCCAAGCAAACTCTGAATTGAAAAAGACTCGTTAAAAACAGTCGCACTAAGTTGATATACTCAAAATTTCAATTTACAAGAAAGCTTAAGGATCTAGCTTCTTGATTGCACCAAAGAGCAGCAGCTTGAGTGTTCAGAGGTGAGCTTATGTTTGGCTTTGGTACAACATTACAAGATTAAGATTAGAAAATGGTTAAGATCAAATCGGCAAATGTTGACAAATTGCTTATAGTATTTACCTCCAAGCAAACTCTGAATTGAAAAAGACTCGTTAAAAACAGTCGCACTAAGTTGATATACTCAAAATTTCAATTTACAAGAAAGCTTAAGGATTTACCTTCTTGATTGCACCAAAGAGCAGCAGCTTGAGTGTTCAGAGGTGAGCTTATGTTTGGCTTTGGTACAACATTACAAGATTAAGATTAGAAAATGGTTAAGATCAAATCGGCAAATGTTGACAAATTGCTTATAGTATTTACCTCCAAGCAAACTAGCAGCAGCTTGAGTGTTCAGAGGTTGATATACTCAAAATTTCAATTTACAAGAAAGCTTAAGGATTTACCTTCTTGATTGCACCAAAGAGCAGCAGCTTGAGTGTTCAGAGGTGAGCTTATGTTTGGCTCTGGTACAACATTACAAGAACAAGATTAGAAAATGGTTAAGATCAAATCGGCAAATGTTGACAAATTGCTTATAGTATTTACCTCCAAGCAAACTCTGAATTGAAATGAGTATAGTCCTCACATCATAAGCATCTCCACTTATCCTATAATGACATGGTATTCCACAGATAGATCAGATCAGATGTTATAAAGATGTTACACAAAACCAACTACAATACGAGACCATTAACACATTCAAGCAGATAGAGAGACTGATCCCAATAGACCCTCAACTTTTTTTAGGCATATCCAAGCAGTTTGAACAAGACTCGAACGGGACAGTTACCTGAAGAATGTCTAAACATTGGGATGAAAGCAACCGGTCTCGAATTTGACCTTTGGTGGTTTAAAAGGGTAATCAGCAGGAAATGAAAGAGAGAGCTTGTATTCTGTTCCTTCAAAAACTGTATCTTTGCTACCAGTGATTGTCCCTTTCCAGCAGAAAATGTTGTCTTATTCGGGAAGTACAGATATTCCTGAGTCACCACTCATCTAAAACATAATGAAAACAACTTTAAAGTTGAAGAAAATTTCTCACAGAAATAGATATGAAAAGTATAGAGATTTCTATGATTCCTTAATCAGATTTGTGAATAGTATTGAAATCTAAACATTCCCAAAACCTAATAATCCATAAGCATTAAGATATCACATAAAAATATATCCAGATGACTGGGTCAAAGCCAAAAATATGATGAATAGAAGGAAAGGAGATCAGAAAGATAGGCGAACGACTTGACTATAGTATAGGTCGGATGTTTCCGTGAGCAGTAAGCAGCAGATCTCCCCTTATTTTGGGAAAGCTGGTGGCCGTGTGTGAATTCTTTCAAGGCAAAGGGCGGCCTGATTCGACATTGTTGTTTACTCTGATCCGGTCGAGGTGGTTTTCGTTTACCAGCACGTAGGTGTTCTAAATTCCTATGACCGAGTCTTTCTGGCCCCTGTGAACATCTTTTCTTAATGTATTAAAATATATCCAGATGACTATATAACACCTAAAAACTTAGACATAGCCAACAAATGTGTAGATATAATTTGAAACTCAAATAGAAATGATCTTGCATAAGCACTAAAATCAATTTGAGCACATACACATATGAGAAAACACCTAAAATTTCATCATTTTGAGAAATCATCAGAACAATCTTGAAAATCAAATGGAAGATCTACAACCCTAATAAAACCATCTCAAAACCCCAGATCAAGAAACCCAAAACCCAAAATCCAATCCATAAACAGATCAAGAAACCCAAAACCCATGTTTTCAATAAAAGACTTGAATAATCCAATCCACAAACAGATCAAAAACCCATATCAAGAAAATCAATTCAAAACCCCCCAAATCAAATTACAAACACACCCAACAACCATAAACATCAAAATTCAAAGATTTGAGTAAAAAAAAAAGACACCTGTTAAGAACAAATTGAGTATCAACAGTCTTTGCTCTGCGTCTGTTTTGGTGAAGGCATAAGGAGCAGCAGTTGCAGGAGTTTTGCTGTTGTTTCCACTGTTCATTGTTGCCATCAAGATTTGATTTTTGAAGTATACCCTTAAATTTTCTTGGGTTTTTACAGAAGATAAAAAGGGTTGAGAGAGATTTTGATGAAGAAAATTAAGAGATTGTGACTACTGGTCAAAAATTCTAACGGCTACTTAGAATTCATCTTAAATTTTTAAGGCTACTTTATAAAGGTGTTGAAACACATTCTAACTGCTAGTTTCAAACCTTATAGATTTCTTTCTAGGGAATAAATTATTTTTTTTATAAAAAAGATTGTTTAAATTTTCAAATTATATTGTGAATTGTAATGTTTATTTGGGAAGGGGCATGAATGAATACCCCTATAGTGTACTTTTCCTAACTAAAATGCATAAACATAAAGGGTTATTTATTTCTGTATTTAATCAAAACGGACTAATTGTTGGACTTTGAGCAACTTGTCCTAATTTATAATGAATGGTCAAAAATGACAGTTTATCCATTTAAATTATTTTATAAAATCGTTAGTCTTTGATCGACGTATTTTAAAATTTATTTTATTTATTAAGTGTGTTCCGGGTAAATTATTTTTGTTTAAACAAGTCACTTTGAGGTAAATGACTAGCTAATAAAAAAAAAATGGTGGTTAATTGTCACGTAGATAAATGTATAGATTCATTCGTTTTCATCATAAGAAAATTCGATCTTTTGGTTATTTTGTCTTCTTGTTGGGGTGGTAATATTGTGCATGAAGATGGTTCTATAAAATATAATCGACGTCTTGTAATGATGCAAATGTTATCGTATCCTCTAAATATGAATGTTTGCAATGCTTATTAAGAAATAAAATGAGTAAAAGTGATTTGAAAAATATAGTAATTATGGGTGTATAAAATTGAACCGAAAATTGAATCAAACCGCAAATCGAGCCAAACCGGAAAAAAAACCTGACTAGTGGTTTGATTTGGTATTGCAAAAAAAACCCGACTATACTTGAGTTGGTTTGGTTTTAACTAAAAAAAACAACCCGAGACCAAACCAACCCGAAATTATATATATAATTTTAAAATTTTATTTTATACATAAAAATATTTACTTTAATATAATTTTTAAATATTTCTTATACTTTTTCATAATTTTTTACTTTGATATAATTTTTAAATATTTCTTATACTTTTTCATAGTTTTTATCTTTTAATATATTATTTCAAATTTGAAACTTAGAATTCTGAATGGTCCAATAAAGATTATAGTCCACGGATGTTGGTAATTATAATAAAATTTAAATCAAATTAATACTAATGCAAAAAGAAAACCAATTCAACACTAAGAATGACAATAATATTGAATA